TGTGTGAGAAGAGAAAGGGGGGGGGGGGTTTGAAAAGTTTTAAAGCCAAAATTACTAAGTTAAACCTTATGTGCTAAGAAATTTTACCAAAAAGTTTAAGTGGGGGCCCAAAATTACATAGTTAATATATGAAAATTAGTTGTTTGTATATAGTTGCTACCAACTGATTCTTTCCATTGCCCTTGCAGGGAGCCTGTGTTAAGAAACTTTCAGGAAAAGGAAAGCTTGATGATAGTAAAGCAACAAAACAGATTGTTGCACTTCTAAGTGCTCCACTTGATAAATATAAAGATATAGATACTGCATTGAAGCTCTCGAACTATCCCCGAGTCATGGAACACCTCGATAATGGAACAAATAAAGAGATGTCTAATGTTATTATTCAAAGTATAATGAAAAACAGGACTTACATTTCAACTGCCGAGAAGGTATATACTTCTATATGCTTACATTTAGTTGTTTCAAGTCTTACTTCATTACGACACGGATTGTTGGTCTTTATAGGTAGAGGCGCTCTTTGAATTGATTAAGGGGCTCATTAAGGACATAGATGAAAATCATCAAGATGAGGTGAGTTGAAGATGTTCTCTATTAAGTTATTTATATGTGGCTTTGATCGATAAATGTTTCCTTCTTGTGTTATATTATCTTTCCTTTTTTTTAGGTTCTTGAGATAATTTTATTCCTGATGATCTGTCATTATATTCTTTTATTCTTTATTTATCCACTTTCCTTTTATTTCCAGCTTGATGAGGATGATTTCAAAGAGGAGCAGAATTCTGTTGCACGGCTTATTCAACTGTTGTACACTGATGATACAGAAGAGATGATGAAAGTAATAACAATTTTTTGTTTTTCAAATCATTGTCCATGCTCCAACTCGGTGATTTTAGAGACTATTGTCATCTGTCTTTGCTAACGTTTGACTCGATTATAAATTTTTGATACTCGCATTGGATGGCTCTCTTAAACTCATATCTCATTTATAATTAGAGGAATAAGCCTGAGTATGGTGTAATTTTAGTCATACTTGCAATGAGTTACTAGAGATTGATGTCATGGTGTACCTAAAAATCTGAGCGTTTGCAGCACCTATGAGGGCTAAGTGGAGATGATGTTACCCAAAGAATTAAGCTTGGTAGGATTAGGTGGTGAGTGGTTCTGTGGCCTGTTATGGATGAATTGTACAGCATTGCTGCAAGAACTGCAATATGGAGATTGAATGTTGGCTTGTCAAGAAAGATCGTCACTAATTGGTTGTGGTGGAGAGGAGAATGCTAATATTGACATGGTAAAATAAGACGAGTCTTGATGGAGTAATAATTAATAAATTATCATATTCACGAGTTGGCTAAGGTGCCACTGTTGATGATAACTTGCATTTTGGACTGATTGTGTTGGTTTAATTGCATCCAAAGATGGCTGCTAGAATTGGTGGGTAAGAATAGCGATGCAACTAGTCCTATGCTAAAGCACTGGTATGAGATGGAATCTTGGCTTGTGAAGAACAAATTGGTTGTTGTATAGATGAGGATGCTAAGATGGATGTGGTAATGGAGTGATTAATTATCATTTTCACGAGTTGGCTAAGGTGCCTCTGTTGAAGATAAATTATGTTTGGTGTGATAGTTTATATACATCCAAAGAGGCTGCTTGAAGCACCTTTAATAGCGATGGGACTAGTGTTAATGCTAAGTTTGAAATGATCAGAAAATCAGGCCTCTGAACCTTGATAGAGTGGAGTGGAGAAATGGATCTACATGGATGACCTTTTATGAGTAAAGGATAAGACTTTATAAGTTGAATATAATTATACGTGTTTATGTTTAACATGTGAATATCTATAGATGTCTATATTGAGGAATGCGTTTGATGATTTTTACTGAAACAGACTCTACAAAAGTCGTCCACTGCTACAATTATTTGGTCTTTAATTTCACTGAAACAAGTTTTCCTGTTATCTAAGAAGGGCTTTGACACATGTGCAGCCCTATGGCACTGTGCCTGAGTACCTTGGTACTTGGCTGATGATCACAAAATTATTGACGTGTTCCTTCAACTGGACTTAAAGCATGCTTATATTTGAAAGTGTGAACTCACAAATTACGTGTTAATTTTGTGAATGTTTATAAGACTTTTAAATATGATCTTTACAAGAAGGTCATTCTTTGATCTGTTCTTTAAAAAAGATCATTACTTTAATCTGTTAGGATATACATGTACTTTTTGTGTTCACTACATTGCTAAATATCTGAAGCTTCATTGTCGATAGATTATGCATTGACACATTACAAATTCTCCTTCCCATCAAAATGCATGAGTCACCCAACTAAACAAAGGTCTCATAGTTTATATTCTGAACTCCAATTACCTCACTGAGATGATACTTCCTCTCACCAGCTCATTTTGACCAAATTTAAGGTCTGAAATTTTGTCAAGCATCACAATCTCATCTAAAAGGGTCTGTTAGTTCAATAAATTAATGATTAATTTT